ACAAGGGGCTGTGGCTGGTGGGGGGCTGGGGTAATGCTGCACCAGGGCCACCTGGCCCCACCAGAAATCAAAATCAGAACCCAGAAATCAAAAAAATAAAAGGAACATTGGCCTCATCCGTGTTCCAGGTGGTGGAACGGGGCTGCCGAGATGGCTGGAGGAGGGAGAAGGCGTGACGCCATGCGAGATGCGGATGGGCTTTTCTGGCTCACGGCGCTGTGAAACCTTTTCTTATTTATTGTATTTTATTCATTCATTTGGTTATTTTAACTTTTCCCCCCTCCTCGCTCTCAGAGCTTTGCACGGGTGCAGGAGCCCAGCCCAGTCCCTCCGTGGGGCGGAGGATGCTTTCCCGGCAGGGGGATGGATGAGTCCCAGTGGAAAATCCACTGCCCCCGGGCTGCTGGGACGGGGAGTGGGCTGGAGACAGGTCCCCTCTCTTTGGCCTTCCCTCCTTCCCAGGGGTGTTTTATTTCTAAACAGAAAATTATTAATAACTCCAGGCTATTTTTAAATCGCATGCTGGAGCTCGCGGTTTGTTTGCGGGGGATGATACGAGGCAGGCAGGGGGAGCCCATTCCTGGGGGGTTTCCACCCAAAATACCTGTGGAGGGGCAGAGCTGGGGTGCCCAGGTGACTTGGATGGACCCAGGGGCACCCAAAATTCAACATCTTTGCAAGGCTGTGGTGGGGGCTGCTCAGGCCTCTGCCCCCCACCCGGCACTCACGGGGGTGCCTGTGGCTGGGGCACTCCTTTCGGCTGCTGCCGGCAGCCAAAAAAGCACCGGCCCCAGTAAGGAGCAGCCCCCGTGGTTCCAGTGTGGGAGAGCTGGGGGCTGCGTGGGGTCCGGGGGCACAGCCTGGGGAAGGGGCTGTTGCCCCTGGGGAGGTTTGGAGGTTTCAGAGGGTTCAGAGCAAACTCCTATGCATGTCAACGCTCTGACGCGAAGATGGCTGTGTTTGGCTTTGGACTGGGATGCTGGGTTTGAGCCCCAAAGGTAGAGGGGTGCCCAGGGCCACCCTGGGCTGGGACCTTTTGCTGAAGAGGGTCCAGACCCCCCGTGCAGTGTCCCCCTGTGCTGTGTCCCCCTGCTGCGAGCAGGGGCCACCTATGCTAACCCTGCTCTTTCCCCTCTGCCTGCCCAGGTCCCTCCGGACACAGCAGCCCCCTCTTAGCATCGTTGCCCATCCCCGGCCGTCCCCTTCATCCCCCCTTGGACATCAAGCACTTTCTGACCTTCAGGCTCAACGGGACATCACCGCTCAACCTCTTCCCCAACTTCAACACGGTGAGTCCCTGGGGGTGGGTGGGCATCGGCTGCCGGACCCTCACTCCACTCTTCTACACAGCACCGTTCCTTGAACCCCGTCAGATAATTTCTGGCTTAATTACTGGGGTCTTTGGCCGCTGGACATTAGCGCGACGCACCCACCCTGCCCTTAGCTCGGAGCGGTTTCTGCCCAGCCGTTGCCCTTATATAGCAGAATTAAAGAGATGGTTCATTTTAACCAAGGTCAATTGGATTTTGCTCCTGGAATTAATAGTAATAAAGTAGCTCTGGAGAGCAGTTCATTAGCTGAAAAACAAATCAAGAAAAGGAAAGAAGGAGAGAGAAGGCATATAAAGATACAAGGAACAGGGCTGGTGCTGCCTGGCTGCGGGTGTCGGGTGAGCCGGATCGCGGTGGGACTTCTCCCACCACCCGGTTGGGCTCAAGGTCCCCAGCATTGGGCCACCAGGCCGAGTGCTTGGGTTATGCGATGAAACGTGTCTCCCTCTAGAGATGCTCTGTTATACAGCTAAATGACACGGATGCAGCCAAAGACGTAGGAGAGCGTCTCGGGCGTGAAATGGCGTTTTCCCCCCCTCTGTGCTGATCTCAGCCCGGCTGGGGGTCTCCATCCACCACCCCATGGCTCTTGCTGATGGGAGGGCTGGGATCTGCCCCAGGAATCCCTCCCTTGCCTTGCTTTGGGTCCCTGCCCTGGTGTTTCAGCCGCCTGGGATTCCCCTGGGACCCGGCTCCTGGCATCCCTGAGGAGCGGGTTTTGCTCTGTCGAGGGGCAGCAGCACCGGGGAGCGGGACCTGAGGCTGCTCCCCCCTCCCCAGAGGCAATATGGACAATTCTGGCTTTGGTAAATGCCCTTTTTTTTTTTACCCTCATGAGCCTGGCAACAGGACTTGCCTGAGCTCCCTCCCTGCTCGCTCGCTGGCCTTTTGTAAGCAGCTTGGAGATTAAACGTGCTCGGAAGGTGCAAATTATCGCTGAGATCTTCAAAGACGGCTGTAGAAATTAAGCACAGGATTCCTGTTGCTGTTGAATGGGATTCAGGCGTCTAAACTCCTTTAAGCTCTTTTGAAATCCCAGCTCTAGCCTGTCTCTCCCCTGTGCTAACAAGCAGAAACACAGGAGAGGATCTTTTTTTTTTTTTATGCCATTAAGGTTGCTGCTCTTTGTCTGGGCTCCTTATTTTAGTCGCTGGAGTCAGTGGTTAACTTGAACCAGACCCTGTTGTTTGTTCTGCTTGGCTCCCACGTGCGCCTGCCTTGGCACGTGTTCTCCAGAGTTGTGTTGCTTTAAAAAAGAAAAATAATGGTAATAATAATTTGGAAAATGAATCTCTTGCACTTGCTGGAGCCGTAGAGCTCCGTCACGCTGCTCCCGGGCTTGATGGGGGGACTCCTCTGCCCTGGAGGATGAGTCGGACGTGGGGATGGAGATGCAGGGGGAGGTTGTCCCGGCTCTACAGGCACCTTGAATGAATTGCTCTGAGCTCAGACCCGCGCCCGGCGTGTGCTCTTAGCTGAGCAAAGCCAGGCCTGATCGTCCTGGGGGTGGGAGCTGCCCCTTCGGGTTGCGTTTGTGCTGGAGGGGGGGCTGAGGCCGGGGCTGCGAGGGCTCACGCCTGGGCAGGCGGCGTCGCGGGGAACCGGAGCAGAGTCCCCAGCCTCGCAGGATGCATCGAGCATCGCCGCCACCCGGAGCTGGGCTGGCAGCTCCTTGTCTCTCCGCCCAAATAACCGTGATGCCAGGTCAGAGACCCCACCCGGCCTTGGGTAATTCGGGAGGGCGGGAGGAGGCATCAGTCGGGGTGTTTTACTTTCTGAGAGCGCTGCCGTCTCTGAGTTGCTATAAGAAGTCACCCGAGGTTTTGCCTTTGCTTACCCAGCATTGCTGGTGATGCTGCGCAGGATTCGGCGTTGCCCTGCGGAGCAGGAGCTGTTTGCAACTGCTTAGGGGAACGCTTTGCACTTTGAGCAGGTCACCAGGCTCTCATGAACCCAGCAGATGTTGTACTCTGGAGCGAGCGAAACCTTTCCAAGCTGAGCTCTCCTGCCACTTAAAGCAACAACAACGGGGGGAAAAAAAAAAATCCTAATGCAACACAGAAGGTGCGTTTCGTGCTCAGAGGGCCCTTTCCGGCTCTTGGGATGTTACAAATCCCCAGGACCCAGCAGTGCTTTGCAAAACCACGGCAGGAGACGCAATCCGAACTGATGCTGCGTCCCTGTGAATTCCCGTTCCTGACCTCGGTGGCCGGCAGAGCGCTCGGCGCAGGGATCTCTATTTATATCGGTAGGAACATCCAGGGATAAATAAAGTAATGTGAGTCAATAAGAATTGACTGTAAAGCGGAGATCTTCATGCTCCAAGTGCGCGGTGCCCAGAGCCTACCTCTGCTGTCGCATCAGTTCTGCTGCAAACCACCAAGAAGAGCCTCAACCCACCCGGCTGCGGGCACTGGTATGTACTGTGGTGGCACGGACCCTCACCGGCCCCGGGGGAGAGCTGGGGGGTCTCTAAGGGTTCCTTTTCCCATCTGAAATAGCAATGGTTAGGGAGAAGTTGGCAGTACATTTGTGCTATCGTTCGGAGAGAAGCACTGGGGCTCTCGGGTGGCATCCGAGTGTCGGAGCCGCTCCGTGCCAGAGGGAGCCGGGCTGGGCTTCCAGCACAGCGCCCTGCATGCTGCAAGGATGCCGCGCTCGCCAGGCGTGCCCGACGGCTGCACCAGATTGGCCGGGGTGCACGGGGCTGGGGCGAGGAGCCAGGATTTGGGTGCACCAGCCAGCCCTGCCCCGGGGAGCTCACAGCTCCTGCGCCTGCCCGGGGCGGATGCAAGTAGCACGGGTGCTCTGACGGACACAACTTGCAGGGCCGAGCGATGGAGGGGAGGTAAAGGCCCAGGTTGGTGCCATCGCCTTATGCCCCAGGAGGACGAGGGGGTCCTTTGCTGGGGCTGCTCAGCGCTGCCGCCCTGGACTTGGTGCTCAACCCGGGCGCTGGCGCCGCTGGCTTCGCCGGCAGGTTCAGATTCATGCCAGGATGGTCCCCAGCCGCTGTTGCATCCTCGTGCCAGCATCTCCCTTTCCTCTGCATCCTCCTCCACAGCCCCTGCCCTGCTGTGCCACGGTGCAGGGGGGCGGAGGAGCTGGTGGGAGCCAGCAGGGTGGGAGCCGCCGGCCGGGCCCCGGCAGCTGATGCTGCTGCAAAGCTTAGAGCCGTTTTCCTTTTCTTTGCCTGGAAAAGGTGGGTGTTTCTCCTGAAAACAAGCGCCAGCCCTGCTCCCCGCTGCAGCCTGGCAGCGCAGGGACGCTGCCTGGAGCACGTTGCAATGTTTGTTGTCAGGGGTGGAGCAGCATCTTCGCCATCTGTAGTTTCCTCCGGGTCTGCCGCCGAAACCCAAATGCCGCTTCATTTATATGCCAGATAAGTGAGTAAAATTTCATAGCAAACAGGCACTTCATTAATCACCTGCTTTTACCATTCTGCTCACTCCTGGAAAGGAATTTGGGGTCTTGATAATGGCTCTGTTGTCCAGGCATGTGCCTCGAAGACTGATGCACCTGTCTCAGCAAGGAAATAGCTTTGCAGAGAAATACGATCGCCTGAAAACCCAGGGCTCTACTGACAGCAGGACTCCGATAAGATAATCTTCCTATGCCACAGGGTAGGGGAACAATACTTGCATTATAAAATATAGCCACGCTGAAACAAAGAGGTTATTCT